ATATATGATGAACAATATGAAGTCACCTATGAAGTTGAACGCACTCCATCCGTGCTAAGTCAAAAAGACAAGAGCTTTTCATCATACAATAAAATCAAACTACAAAACGAAAATCATCTTCTGTCGACCACATTGTATTCAATCATAACGGGTAATGAAAGCAAGTACTATTGGAAATTCCTTTATAATATGCGTTTTTTCTCATGATTTTAGAGCCCTACAATCCTTATTCAAAAATTGATCACAGCAATAGTAGTATATTCGACAGATATTCAAGAATAAATGACTCGATACCGTTTGTTGATGGTGATTCACAGGATAGTATTAGAAATGATGCTAATCATAAATTTATACCGATATTTAGCTGGATAAAATCAAATTGGTTTAATAATATTAGTGATGAACAAGGTAAGAACTTAAAGTTTAACTCTCATAGAGTATATTTAAGTTTAGAATCGATTTAGATCACTCAAGTTGTACGAAATTACAGTCAAGACATTGTATACTGAGACATTCTCAATCCTATAATGGAATGGGCATCTATGTATCATCAGATATACATACACATAGAAAGTATTTTATCAAATATGTTGAAGCCACATCGCCTGGAGACAAAGCAGGTCTACAAAACAATGATTATATATTAAAGATTAATGGAAAACAAGTGGAAAATGTTGATTTCAATATCGTACTTCAAATAATCAAAAATGGTATTCAAAATGATAATTTAGAATTTTGTGTAGTAAACGGGGAAATTCACAGCCATTTTAAATATAATGAGAATAACAATTGATCATAATTTTCTCGAAAAGTAATTATTATATTCTTTATGTGAAAAATTACATATTACTTTCGATAATAACTTCTTTAATTTGTTATTATGATTAAAATGTTATTGTAATGTCAATTGATTTACCATTGTATTCTATTCTGCTTTGAGTGTTGTTTTTCTTCTTGTTATATTTTTATCCTTTACCTTTATTTTATGCTTTTACTTAAAGATCACAAGCATTTAGATATAAATATGTACAAGAGAGATTTTTTCACCGACAAAATATTAATTAATCGAACAATAATTTGCATCAAGTGTCAGTCTTTACGACTATAATCTTTTTAAAAATGAAAACTAAAAACACAATAACAACGAAACTAAAACAAATTCGAATACACTTTTATTTTTAACCATTGTCAAATCTTTTTATTCCAATGCCCTATATAACTACCTGCTAAAAAAACTTTTTCGAGCATTAACTTCTAATATAAAAGAACGTCGAAAGTTTCTTTTTTAGTAGATAGCCACCAGCAGTGACGAATAGTTTAACCATAACTAAACATATTCTAAATGATGCATTCAATCTATCGTATATACAAATGTAAAGTATAGAAGCAATGGTGCCGGACAAACTCATAAATCAAACAACTATTTGAGATGTGTACATATTCAAAAAAAAAAAATAAACGAATATTGCGGAAATGAGACTGAAATCTAATGTGAATTAGTAATAATAGCATGATATCTTGGCGGTGGTTCTGAAGCGGATGTTAAACGATCTTGTTCAACAGTCACATGTTGTTCGACACCATAACGAAACGCACATTTACCCGACATAATTGTTCTCACGATTGAATTATCAAATATTTCAAATTGACTAGCATTACTTGTTTTTATCGCATCTTGAAATATGGCGGCCATATCGCCTTCGACAAATTTAACGTACGCATTATTATCACGTCTACTACATATCGATGCTGATATACGTCCAGAAAATCGTACTTCTACTTGAAAATCAGCAGAATATTCTTCTTCAGTAATGATCAATTCAGCATTTGCTCTCGAATGGGGCGCTACACGAATATTGGAATCGGCTGACCAGGTCATCCTTGTTTCAAATGTTGTATCTTTCCCTATAGAAAAAAAAGTGAAAAATGGCGATATTTGCTCGTTAGTTTTTATTTAATCATTAACCTACCATAATCAACTCGTTGTTCATGTTTAATACCACCACCAACTTCGACAACCTCATTTGGTAGTTTAAATGTAACAGCACCTAAAATTATAAATAGTATTATTAACATTGATCTAGTTAAACAGAATACGATATAAGATATTTACCTTCTTTTTCTTTTGTAAATCCTTTCATAAATGTAAAATTAAATGTTGTCACAGTTGATCGTTCTGCTCTCAACGAATAGTCTTGTTCACGATCAGTATTATTTGTAAAATGTGTTTTAAATAAAATTTGTGATTTAGGCATGCGTAATTGTTGAGAACGATTAAATATTGTTTCAGATTGCCAGAAATTAACACGTTTCCAATTTATTTCAATATCTAATTCTTCTCGACGATATTTTGAATCTTCACGACGTTTTGACATTTCCCACATTTTCCAAACCTAAACTATCAACAATATAGTAGATTTATTTCACTTTTAGTTTTTAGAAGAGACAAGAATAAATTTTTTTAAATCTCAGACATATACAAAGAACAATCTAACCTTACAACTGTGTTTTTTACTTTAAGCATGCTGTGTTTAAAATTGTTTCTTTATTTTTACTTTATTAGTCACAGCCGGCAAGTTGAAAGAAATCATCGTATAACTTACCCATCGTTCAACAATTTCATCAAGATCAATTATTGTCTTCTGTCCCGAATCCATTTTTTCTTTTAATTCTTGACGTTGCATTGTCAAAGGCTAAAATTAAAATACTCATTAATTTGTACATAGCATATTGATGATTGACATGAGCAATTAAATTCTTAACAGAATAAAGTAAAATACTTTCTTATAGGGTAGTACTTATTCGAAACGAAAACATATTTTGTTTTATATGATGCAGTAGTGTATATTATGCTGAATTAGTTAATAAGTGGCAATTTATAAAGTTTTTGGTTTTCAAGATAGATTAATGTAATCGGTAATCAAAAAATAGTATGTGTTCGATTGATATTTCTATGTAAATGTACAATACATACTCTTATACTCTGAAAACTGTGATATTTTTCATTAGATGTAATCAAGCAAAAGAGTTACAGGTTACTATTATTATTATGTATACACTTGTTGAAAAAAAAACCTATGTTCCCTTTACTGTATACCGACAAACATGTTAAAGAATCGACGTAGAAAAACAAACAATAAAAGAAGAGAAGAGAAGACTACACACTATAAAGTATTTACAAATGAGTAGATCTCACGCATAAATGTGAAATAGTGAGATCAAACAGACTTCAACTTTATTTAAACAATGTGGAATTAACCTTTGAATTTTTTTTGAGAAATTTTCAAATTAATCATTTTAGTGTACATTTTATTTGATAAGAATATCTAGTACTTTTGTGACAAAAAATGAAAGTGATACACAAGTTGAAATGTGTAAAACAACGAAACTCTCACAATCTTTAGTACATTTTCTGTAGATGCTAATAATACTCTACATAGAAATATCAAAAGAGAAAAATCCTACCAGAGGTAAATCAGCTGGCATCTTGAACGGATATTAGTATCTGAGCCTCTTGTGATTACTTACAGTTTTCCGATTTGGAAAATTATGAACTAATCTGTCCATTGTTTTCACTTCAGTTACCGTAGCAGACATTGTCGAAAATATTTTTTTATTAAACGGAATAAAAGATAAACTTCGTGTTATTTTGTTATTTATCAATCATTTAATATTTTACGTGTCGAACTGAAAATATATGAGTCGAACTGATTTTTGTGTTCAGTACACAGCAGATTAAAAAAAACGTTATTTTTGTTTTCAGTTACATAGACGATAATCAGAGAATAGAATAAGTAAAAAAAATTGAGTTTTTCTTCCTTCTTCTTTTTTTTTCTCTATTGTACAAGTCTTTTTCACTATTATGTGATGAAATAATAGTAATCAACAGTATATAAAAAAAACTGGCCGTACTATCGTCGTTTCATCGCTGTAGTTTGTATTGGTTACATCTGTATGAAAAATGGATTTTGGAATAAAAATATGAACCAATACAAAAGAGCAGAATAGAAAAAGAAAAAATGAGAAGAAACAGCTAGTTGAATTAGAATAGTTTTTACTTACTAGCATAATATTAATATCTTACAGTTTATTTTCAGTTCTGTTCCTTTTGAAAAAATCAAAACTACTAGTAGTATGGACAGAAACAGTACTATTGAATTTGTAGATCATAGTTCATATTGTATTTTTCACTGTTTTATTTATTGTGTCACACGGGGCGCGACTAGTAAAAGATTAATTGAATTTAAGAATTTATACAAATCTCTTGAGGCCTTCCGTCTACTAACGAGAATCTGTTCCAGTTCTTCCTTAGCATCGATGTCTTACGTTATGACCGACTGCATCAGACATATACTCGTTATGTACAGAAAAAACTTTTCACAGTGTGAAAAGACGTGTTAAGTATGAGTTCTAATGAATTTTATCCGTGAAGAGTTCTTAACAGGCGAAATTTTGACGCCTTATCACTTGTTTTAACGATTTACATGTAAAACCTCAAAGAAGTGATGTGAAACACGCGTGTTCTAGACCGGGAGAATTTGTTTTGCACATGACAGAGTAATAGATAGCCAGGCGTCTTACAAGATCATTCAATAGACGAATCATACAATGATGTAGATTTTGAGCTCGACGGCGTGAGATAAACATTTTAGAGCCCAAATTTGTAATATGTATATATAGGGGCATATTGCATAAAATCCTTTCAGTCTAAGATCGTTGCCTAGAGTTTATAACATGAACGTCAGCATAGAAGAACTATGCTCGTCTATTTAACAGCAATCAGTAGATAGTACACATTAGAATTGTTCAGTAGTGAAGAAAACGAAGAGAAAATCACGTTATGCGTCAATATTAACAATAACATACTCTTGCATTAAGACACTGCTATTTACTAACAAACAATTCTGCTGAACAGAAAATAGATGAGCCCAATAGAAGGTCACCTTTCAACTTTCGCCTTTGCGGACAGAATCCGAGAAGAGACTAAGGAGATTTTACTTCCTGAAACATTACAACCACGCTATAACGAAATATATCGTTGTAAACAGCTACATTTCTACGCTCTACAAACTTAGCGTTAAGGTTCTGTATCAGCAGAAGAGTATTGTTATGTTTTTTCGATCTTCGCTGGATGCAAAAGAATTCTTTCTTATAAATCTGTTTTTTACATTTTATAAGCCTACTCAGTTTCGTAAATACTTTTGAGACGTTTCTTTTTTTTGTCATATTTGGCGGTGCTAATTTGATGATAGTTTATTTACAACGGATTCTTTCTCTCTTTCTTATTGTTATTCGTTTGGCTATCTATGTGTTATCTAAATATACGAAAAATAATTTAGATAAGAGCCTTTGCATATGAAATACTACTGTGTATTGAATATAGAGTTGAACAAAGTACACATTCTAAAACTTCATCAAAAACAAAGTGACAATATTTCAGATCTCATGTAATAACCATACGATGTGAATAACAGCATGTATAATTTTCTGTATATTCAAGAGGGATGAATGTTTCTACAATAATATATAAACGTTATTCTCAGAACAAGTATTGCTGAATTATAGGTGAAACGAGTAAAATTTAATTACAAAAAAAAGGCAATTAGCTTTTTTGACATGTTCTTGTTACTTATTTTCAAATTGTATTTAACAAGTAAGTTCTCAAATTTTGAACATTTGAAACCTTGTGTCATACTATTTGCTGTTAAAACGCAAAAACAGATATTATTAGTTATGCCACGAATCATCAACATGCGATTATTTTTCACTACTAGCGCAGAACAGCATCAACATTCTTGTATTTCTTCCAAATACTTTATCGATTTACATTGAAAAATATTACAACCTATTTTATTTAATTTTTCATCACGTATTCGATGAATCAGTAGTTACATCCTTTTTATTCACTTTTATTTATTGTCATTTTTCCAGATTTATCAGCATTCTCTGCTGCTGTCGCTATTATTCTATTATTAGTAGTTGTCGTATGTACACCTGGTGTCTCCGCTTTCGTAATATTAACAGGTTTAACAGCAATCGAATGTTGAATAGGATCTGTTTTTTGTTGAGTAGTTCCTAATGGATTCCTATTTCCAACTGATTGATGATCTTTTCCGCTTTTGTTTCCTTTTTTTCCTCTTCTAGTTTTTTTCTGTGCCGTGCTCTTTCTACTTCGACTCCGTTTTGGTGCTTTCTTCGCTGGCATTTCTCTTCCAACCGCTTTATATAAAGCCCCTTTCTCACTATCAGATAGTGCACGCCATCTGGCTCCTATTTCTTTTGTTATTTCCGTTGGTTTCATGCCCGGAAATTCGTGAACCACTTTTGGTCGAATGTCCTTCATATATATTTGATATGCGTTCACTTTTCCAGTTGATCCTGAAGAACTTCCTTGTTTTTTGTTTTTTTTCTTAGTACCATCAACTACAGTAGGAGTAGAATCATCGATTACATTCGATAGTTTTTTATGTGCTTGACTTTTTGATCGTGTCTTGGAATGCTCATGGGTTTGTTTTCGAGTGCTTGATGTAGTTGAAGGGTTGGTTCTTGAACCGGATACTGTTTTTCTCTTGGAAGCGGAGATTTTTCTCGACTCGGATGCGTGTATATTTTTTTTCTCTGACACTGCTGGATTAATTTTTCGTGATCTGCTTGCACCGGCACTACTGACTTTTCCTGATAAGTTCATGACTAAGATTTGTTTTCAAAATGTTACACAAAGATAAATGACAAAAAAATGTTTGATTCACAAACAAGAACTAAACTGATTTTGTTTTTTTAAAATATAGACTAAAAAAAAACGTTCTATGTTTCTGATGATACACAAAAGAAAAGAACGTATTTACGCGCCTGTTTATAAAGAATAATTTTTATGGCGCTAATAGAAGAAGATGAATCAAATCAAGAAATTTAACTAATACTACAGAATACCAAACAAATAGTCGAACAAAGTCATCAAATAGTTTAAGGTGCATCACTCATTCTCTGCACATAGAATAGCATCAACTATCGGATGATACTGTAAGATGAAAATAAGAAACTGGACGAAACGTCTATTACACTCTATTAATTCACAGAATATTAAGGATGGCACAGTTTGAAAATTCATAAAAAATTACTGCATGTATTTAAGCTTGAAAACTTGAGTTTTCCCAGAATTATCCGACAGATAGTGGCCAAAAAGTAGGTGTTTGTAATTCCAAGGTCTCTAAATCTCCGATTAGTCTTAAAATCTAGTCAACACTTTTTCCTAGGGTATGGTCGTCCGATTTTTGTTTTTTGACCTAGGTTTTTGGGAAAACAAAGAGTTTACAAAATATGAAAAAAGTTTTCCTAACCTTTTGGACTTTTCAAAATCGATGTACAGAAAGAAAAAGAAAAACCAGGTTTATGGTGCTGTTAGAAAAATGCTAATAACTATTTACTGCAAAATCGCACAGAGCTCAGCAACGTCTCATTTTGAAGAAAAATGTTTGCTTAACATTTCCTGGTAATAAAACCACAAAATGTAGTGAAATATGAGGAAATTAAGAAGAATTTCGAAATTTTGGTTGTTTTAAAAACCGTTTCCTCAAAAGCTGTAAGCATATGACTTTTCTAGATGGATTCTGAAAGTAGACACCAAGGACGATCTATCTATATGTGTAACTCCATATTGTAAATTTCACAGAAACGTCAAATTTCTGACGGACAGCTCTTAAACGCTACTTGAGATTGATAAATATAGCAGATAGATATGTTAACCATTCTTTCTTCATATTCCTTGTTTTCTGCAACACATCTGCCTGTAATCACTAGATTTTCTCCGTTTTTCAGCAGTACGTCGAGCCTGTATAAATCAGAATTAGTTAGTTATTCACGATTAATCATCTAAACGCTGATAAGATAGGATGAAGTAAAGAACTGCTGTAATTACTTCATCCTGTCTTATCTTCTTCCTACCGCTTTACCTTCGAGTTTTATTAAACGCTGATATTGATCGTTCACGATAATCAAGACCGCTTGATTATTCTTAATCTTAGTTAGTTAAGAGTTGCACACAGACAACGAAACTTTTAAATATGATTAATTCTCATAATGATTTATCTTACCCCATAGATAACACTGGTATGAGCGCACAGAGAAGGATGAAATCTGGTTCATTCAGCTGTTAACTTGAAAAATCTTGAGAATGCTTCTATGATACAATTTTAAAAGATTTTTTTGCTGAATATATAGATTTAAGCATGCTAGTTTTTGGAATAAAACACAAAACTGTGTGACTTTGTACATCATATGTAAAGTTAAATTTTAGACACATGTTAACGTTTAATATTGACATGCATTAAAAATCATTTCCTCAATCACTTTCGTCTTTTCTTTGATTATAATTAACTTGTATATATGCCTTGTAGGGATTATAAACTGATGATTCACTAAGAATGGAAAGAACACAGTAAACGAAGGAGAAGAAAAACAAAAATTTGTTTGTCGGTGTAATCATTATTACCAAAGCGCAATTTACATAAAAAAACTTATCAAGATTCAATTGTTGTAGACATGCCGACTCTGATCTTTTTTTTGGAAAAACATGGGTTTCTCAAAGTTGATTGACAAAAAAAAAGAGAAAAACTGAACTCTATCGTTATACTTGAAGTATAATTTGATTCACTTCGGTTGATGACAATGACATTGTCGATTGACAAAAATTCCAGAAAGAAGAAAAGTAGAAGGAAGAGATGGTTATTTGCACAAAAAAACCCTAAAGGCAAGCAATAGGTCAATTTATATACGGTCGTCATGATTAAAAATAAAAATAGTCAGCAGTGACTTACCGATCTTTGTAAACTTCCAACCATTATAAAAACAAACTAATTTGGACGATTATAAAATTTAAAACGATATAAATCGGTCGACTCTGAATCTAGAAGAAAACAAGAGCGATTTTCACCACTGATAGCAAGAAGCTTGTTAAGATCAACATATTTCGTTTTATAAGTTAGGCTAACGGTTGTTCAACGCTAAATACTCAATTTCTCTATAGACAAGTAAGTTCCGTTGTTTCAGTTTCAATATTATAAACTATTTTCTGTTTTTATGACAAATAGCCACCTGTTCTCAATTTTTTTTCTTTGATTTATTCGTTTTCTTTATTTTACTATCTGTATATAATGTAAGGATTACTACTATACTCTACTCATTCAGGTCTTACCGATTAGACACGAAAAAGAAAGAGAGAATGAATGTACATTTATTTATTCAATTTCTGTTTTTAGGCTCATTAAAATGTATATATTTGATGATGATATGTGTTTAATATATTTATTTAAGCGAATCTTCACACATCCTTTTATACTCTAATTCTCGTTGAGTTCTTACGATAGTTGCACTTTTTCAATCAATATAAATAAACTAAGGGCAGTTGTCCATTGTACTTATATATACATGAAATGTAAACATTGGCTACGTGTGTGTGTGTGTATATGTAGAGATATAAATCATGAAAATAACGAAAGAATTCCATATACTAAGATGTACATGAGATGAGATGGGAATAATGGTCATATGTCGATTGTCAGGAATCAATTACTCGCGCAATCGTAATGTAAATACGATTATCAATCACCAAAATATTCATCAAGTATTGTATTTCAAAGAACAAAATTAGCGGTTCGTGCATTTTTCTTCATCATGTTCATATGTATGGTTCATTCATTTTTCACGTTCGTGCATTAGAAGTGTACAGAGAGCAGCTAATTTTTACGCTTAGTACTATACTCTGAGAAAGTTTTTGATTTCTACATCTGTGCTATCTTGTCGTTCTGCGTCTTGACCTGGTCTGAAGGTGATCTGATCCCTCCACTATTGTATTTTTAGCACATATAGACCGAATAGACACTCAAATTCGCTCACACTATACGTTAATTGAGAATTGTAAGAAAAATATTCTAAACAAATGCCGTGGTAAAGGAAGACGGTATACGCTGGATGTGAATTAGCCGGATTAGATTCATTAAGACTGATTCATTCAATTAAAACTGGGAGTCGTTTTATAGGAAAGAGCGCTACGCTATTATGCAGGTCTATAACTTGACAAGGACTTCGTGGTTCTACAAAAAAACAAAACAGCTTAACGAATTTCTCCTATCTAAATCGATGTTTTGTGTAAAAGTGACGATTGCACAACACAATGGATGATTGTCATCTCTTCATGTATTGTCTTAAAATAAGATCCATCTTATAAGACAGATGGATTTGTCTATCGTTAAATAGAGGATGTACAAATAAAAGACAGATTTCGTCGGAGTAGACACTATGAAAATCATTTGTAATCAACAACAATAAACTGGAATTTTTCGAATATAGTCTTTGATGGAAACCTTACAATCATATATCATCGGGTATTTAATGAGAGCTATGCCTTTAATGCAATAAAGAAAATGTCAAAATCACTTTTGTTGAATATCTTGACCAAAATCTTTCGTGCACAATATTACACTACCTTTATTGTTCCTTTTCCTATTCAATATCATCTACAACGAACTTATACAACAAAAGAAAGAAGAACATTTTTTTATTAACAACAAGGGTACTATGACTGAAAAGTTTTTAAAAGTATTTTTAGAAATATTTCCTAGAGGTTCAAAATTTGCCCTTTTATTCACAGAAAATAATCCTCTAAACATAAACATTCTTTCTCCTCTGCTATATAATATAGTCATTTTAGACATCTGATATTGTATGCTATTGTTTCTGCTATCAAAATAATCTCAATGTTCCGCCCATTTGACTATATCTGTGGGAATAACGACAGCACAGAGTGTGGCTGAGAAGTGATGATAGTTCCACTGTATATTCACTATTCACAAAAATAGATAAACAAATATAAATCAACGTAGATATCACTATATTTATTGACCAACAGATGGTAAACGATGAAGATTATTAAAGAAGAGAAAAAGAGGACATTGTATGTTCATGTAGATAGAGATGGATTTGTAGACGAGAGAAAGAGAGAGATAATCGTTTGCAAATTTGAACATACTGAAACGAGATTTTAGTATGACGATGATTAATATATAAAATACGAAGGAAACAAGTGGTCTAAACTCTGTATCTGTCATTGATTTATTAACTGTCAGAAAAAAAAGCAACGAAATGATATCTGTTGATTTCTTTCGACACTATATAAGGTTGATTATAGGCTGATGTTTATTAACGCAGTAAAAATACACGTAAAGAAGGATGAATTTCTTGAAAAATAATTCAGTTGTCATCTCTGCAGATCAACCCATCCATCAGAGAAGAATTTGTTAGTAAATAAAAAAAGTGAATCTAACGATTATTTGAACATCAGAGCTTTTCGGTGCAAATAAATAATCCATAAGAATATACGCGTAAGGAAAATTTTGCAAAACTGTGTGGTCTAGGGAATGGGCGATATGAATTATGAATTTCCCATGAGGTTTTATTTTGGTTGATTGGCTAATTGATCCGTCATAGTTCATGGCGATTGAAGAGAAAACTGCGGTTTCATGGTGTACAATTGCTATTGAATCGCGATTGTGCATCATGAAATCGCAATTTTGATCGCAGTGACCATGAGCTGTGACGGATCGATTAACCGATCACCCAACAGAAAACCTCATAGGTTATATCGTCTCAAAATTTATAGTGAAAAGAAATAAAACTGATCTACTTATTTAGCCA